GTAGACGTTACTGCACATTCGGCTTCACGGCGCTTCAGCATGATAGCTTCGAGCTCCTTCGTGTCCGGAATCTCCTCTGGTCGACCCGCGCCATCGAGGTGGAAACGCTTCCTCGTGCCCACGAAGGACAAAATCTGGTCCTTTTGTTGAAACCAACGCGAGAGGTTGCTCTTCGGGATTCCGGTGCTTGCTTCAAGCTCGCGGACTGATGCGATGGCAGCTATCATTTGCAGCTCTGTGACATGGCAGTATCGCCGCCGTGGCCTCTGATGTTGGCTGATCTTGTCGCGTAGCTCAAGTGTCATTCGAAAGTGATTGGCATGTGTGAAAGGGCTCAATATGGCGCGAATTTTAAATGTTTTCCCGCCAAGTTTTTATTTTGGCCAATGATTTCTTATGGTTTGACTTCAAGTGATTTGATTGGCTCAAATATGATCATCACGTATGAAAACTTCGGTGTCTCTTAAATTCTGTCGTCGTCTGTAATTCGAAGAATTTGGACGATCTAACACCTCAACGAAGTTTGGATTGGATAAAATTTATCCAATCAGATGGCGCTGTTGTGGGGATTTCAGAACCCCAGCCACGCTGGCCGCAACATCACCGATGATTCAAGCAATCGACGCCCCTGTCCTCCTCGTCCTCACTCTGGTCTGCATTGCCGTGGAGGCGGTGCTGCATGCGATCCAGACTCGTGGAAGCCGACCCACGCAAGCAGAACTCACCCTCCAACGGCAGCATGCAGTCCTATCAGTTCAAGCGAAGAAGCTCAACAGCGTTGACATGTTTGTCGAGCATTCCAAGCTGCTGCGCCAGATGAACACGGTCAAGAAACAGGAACAATCTCTAGCTGTGGAACGCTTGGCGAAGGCGGCTGTTCCTGGTTTCTTTGGCTACATCCATCCCATCCTCCTCGCTGCGATCGTTATTGTATTTTGGTCGACGCCGCTCATCGTGTTCCCGCCTGGAAGGCTCATGCCCGTGGAGCGCCTGGTCGCCATGCCATTCTTCCCAGCCGGTTCTGTGTCTGCCGGCGGCTGGTGGCTCATCTGCCGACGCGTAATTGGGCGAGTATTAAAGTAGTTCAAATAATCTGTCCAACAAGACATATCCATGTCATTGAGGTTACCCCAGAGTATCGCCGCCATAGCCGCCACTTTGGCCGCCCAAGTAATCGCGGCGACCGGCATTCAGCTTGCGAGCGTTCGACTCGAGCTTGGGACAGTCTGTGATTCGATGGCCCAGCCCACCGCAGAATGCACATCCTACGACGTCCGATGCAGTCAGTGCCCACCCCTTCCTCGACGATCTCCCGTTACCTTTGGAGCCCGTCGCGTTCTCCTGGGAGTGTTCCATGGGGTCATCCAGCGCCTTGAGCACAGGCGGGACGCGCTGCTTAGCTTCCACGAGCAAGTGCTTCAGATCCAAGAGAGCGCTTTCTGGGACACTCTTGTTGATGAAGGTCGTGGCAACACCTGCATGCCGCCTCGCTTAGCATCGTTCCACCCGGGTCTATGGGCCTACCAGTCTTGCCGCACCGCCCTGTACGACCAATACGATGCACATAGTTTTCAATCTCCACGGGCATGTCAAAATTGATGACGTGTTGGATATCGGGGAAGTCAAGGCCTTTGGCAGCGATGTCTGTCGCGACAAGGACGTCCTTGTCTCGGCGCTTGAACATGTCAATGGCTTCGTTACGCTCGACTTGGTCCTTTCCGCCTAGAGTCACAATGTCATCGTAACTCTCGTGAAACCAGCGCACCGTGGATCGAGACCGCTTCGACGCCCTTGAGCAGCAAATACTCGTGAATGTCGTCGACATCGCCCTTTCGCTCACAAAAGATAAGCACGGGAGGTGCCGTCTTCTGCAGGCACTCGAGCAAGTACACGATCTTGGCCTCCTGCTTGACGTATTCGACTTCTTGGAGCACGTCCAAGTTGGCCGCCCCCGCTCGCCCTACGTTGACCAGGACCGGACGAACCAATCTACATCACACTCGTCAGTAACCAAGTGAGCGAGAAGCTCTCCAGTAGACATTACACTTGTTTGGCAAAGTCTTGAAACTTCTGCGGCATCGTGGCGGAGAAGAGCAGGGTCTGGCGCTGGTGTTTGAAGTGGTTGAAGATCGAAGCGACCTCTTCGTCGAACCCAAGATCAAGCATGCGGTCCCCTTCATCCAGGCAAATATACTGACACAAGTCCAAGTTCATCTTTTTGGACTGGAGAAAGTCCTTGAGACGGCCGGGGGTCGCCACCACGATGTGGACTCCCCGCTTGAAGATCATGTCGAGCTGCTCACGCTTATCTTGGCCGCCCATGCACAGTAGACTGCGAAGCTCAGGAAAACTGCAGACGGGAGGAGGTGAGATGAAACAACGAGAAGGAAAGCTTACCCCGCTTTGAACAAGGCTGACGTGAAGTGGTTCACGATCTCGTACGTCTGCCGCATGAGTTCGCGCGAAGGACCGAGGATGACGCCAAACGGACCTTCTTTGCTGATTATTGGCATCTTCTTCTCCTGTTCAAGGGCCAGCATGACGAGAGGCAGCGTGAAGGTGAGCGTTTTCCCACTGCCGGTGAACGCGATCCCGATAATGTCGCGCCCGGACAAAATGCACGGCATCGCTTGAACCTGGATCGGCGTGGGTCGAACTATGTTTTTCGCCTTTAGAGCATCCAATATGGCTGGTGGATAACGCATTTCGGCAAATGACTTTATCGGCGGAGGGATGTCGTCACCGTCGACGAGAATGTGCCACTTCTTGCGCACAACGTCGCATTCATCCTCGGTGAGTCGCGCAATATGCCGAGGAGGCGTCCACGTCCTTTTGATGGATTCTGTGTATCGGACACCGCTGGCGTGCTCTGCAGCCGACACAAGTGCGACCTTCTGGACCTGGGATGCCTCATGCAAGAGCTGCACTTCCGACGTGGATTGTATTCGTTCGTCTTCGTTCACGCCTTCCGTTTCCCGTTTCTTTTTGAGCTGGAATGACTGATCCAGCAAACTCACAGTTGAACGAGTGGGTGCAGCGTCGTCAGCGTCCGCCGCTGGTGTTTGGTTCTTCGTGTCGAGCTGTTTCGGTGTGTAGTTTTTCTCTAATTCGTCGTCTTCGTCGTCCTGTGCATGCTGCTTCAGCTTCTCCTGGATGACCTTTTGTCGCTTAATGCGTCGTTCCTCCTCATCTTGGCGGCGCTGCCTCAGCGGGACATACACATCCTCTCCGTCCATCGACACTTTTGATCGATGCTATCTGTGGTACGTTATCCGGATGCAACATCCGAATGCTTATTCAGTGTGCATCGATTTTTGCATGATGGGAAATTCATCAAGTATGAAAGGTATCAAATGCCGACAAATATTAAATTTACAAGTTCTACCTACGACATCAAAAGTCCACAGACATGGAAGAGCCGACACGGAGGGTCTCAAAAGCAGCCATCAGCGACCTTTGAGGTAGGATGCCTGTATGCGCCCAGCAATTTCTTATCGTTGATGGTGATACTTCATCCCACGCCACTGTTGCCCAACGTATCGCCTGCAGCGCATCGAAGACATACGGATTCTTCCATTGCTTGTCAGTCATGGTGCCACCTGAGGTAATGTTGTCGTCAATATGAGTCGCATGGGTAAGTTGGCGTTTCTTGTAGTATGCGTTGAATGCGGCGATAATTCCGGCGTCCATGGGCTGCAGCGAGAAGTGTTGGGAGGCAGCATCAACACGCGAATGTTGCAGACGTCGGCCCGAACAGCTTGGTGCGAATAGGCATTGTCCAGGAGTAGTAGAATTGTACGATTTTATCTCTTCATGTCTTCATTCAGTTGCATGATCCATTCAGAGAAGAGCGCAATTGTCATCCATGCCTTGCGATTGCTTCGACAATATAAGTTCAACTCGCTCGCCGAAAGGCAACCACAGGAACGCAATTTCTCGGACTTACCGATAAAGAAAGGAGGTAGCTTATGTGTTCCGTCAGCGTTGGATGTCAGGGCGACAGAGATTCTACTCTTGTCTTTCTTTAAAGACTTGGAGAGGGAATGCTTTGAAAAGAATTGAAGGATGAACGTAAAATTCAATTGTGGTCACTTAGATGCTCGCACTTTCACCATCTTTTCGTGGTTCATACTTGAAAGAACTTTGTGCAATCCTAAAGGATGTCACAATAGTGATCCTGGGTTATGTGTATCCATGCATACATGAACCAAGACTGATATATCATGTCGTCTCTGCAAAGGTTGCCTGTAACTGCTGTCGGCACCTATCGAAGTGTTCATGATACAGTCAAAATATATTGTTGACACGCAGGATTTTGGATAAGAGTCATGCGCTTATCATATCCTAAATGCCAGGACACAAATAATACAAGTCCCATTTCATAACGCTACTAGAATTGTACTTCTCAAGTCTCTTCAGATCATAAATGGGCTTACTGGACATTGATGTCTTCGGCTGGGCCTTGTAAATTATTCCCGTCTTGTCCATGTTGTAAATTGTCGCTCGCATCATAGAACTCTGCCTCGAGCTGCAAATCGTCGCGATCAAACTTGGCAACCAAAGGGTCAAGCGATGCGCCTTCTCCGTGGAGACGTTGTACCCACATGTTGTGGCGCCTTTGGAATATTTGTAGCCAACCTTGCGACACTTTGAACTCGCTTATGCCAAGGCTTATGTTAGGCAAAGCGCTTTTTGCTTGAGTATTGGCCCAGTTATGCGTGTATTGTTTGTGTTTGCAGCGTCCGCACACTTGGCCAGTTTTTCGTCGAGCTTGGGATGTTTTGGTGGCTTTAAGTTTGATGGGCGGTGCATTGCCTTATTGTCGATGTTATATGACTTGGCTTTCCTGGAGCCCTTAAGGATGCGACGAACTGTACTGGAGCGGATCAAGTATCCAAATTGTTTATTGGCCCACGTGGCTAATTGGGGATATGTCACGGACCCTTGTGGCTGGCTATTGTAGAAGATACGCAGTGTAACTTTTTGTTGCAAGGTCAATCCCATCCCACCTGATGGCATTGCGGTTGTTTGGGCACCAAATTTGAATTGGCAAGTCTTTTTCATAAACTCCAAGAAATTATTACATGAATATCGCAACGCAGTTTCAAGTCATTTTCAAAAACTCCAGAAAATTATCAAGTGGAAAAGGTATCTTCGATTACAACTACACACTACTTGACCAACGACGGTCAAATTGAGGTGAGGCCACTTCAAGACGCCTCGCGCGTCGAGCACGATATTGTGCTTGAGTGCGACTCCTTTTCTAATCATCTCGGCTGACATGCTACTGTACCGAGCCAGTACACCATGATAGTAAATTCCATCTTCCCCACGAAGAGGCATCCATAACACGTGAGCATTCGTCAGAGCACAGCAGATACGAGAGACCTGGCCAAACTTAGACTCATTCCACTTGTAGGTGACCGACATGATCGACTGCACATGCGGCCAAAGTAGTTTTCGACAAGGACTCGATCCGAAGAGACCTTGTTGTTGCGCTCCAGGTCACGAGGGGTGAGGAAACCTCTTGCGGACGACGTTTAGGCAGTATGGAGCGGTACTCGTGTTGAACGCCCTGGTATCCCATCTCGACCAAGACACTCCACGAGTCATGCCAACGGTTAACCCCCTCGTCCTGGTCTGCAATGT